CAGTGAAAGCAAGTGCAGTAGTCTCTTTCCAAAGAGAGCAACTGCAAGCATCTAATTTGGGCCTTAGGACATGATGGAGACCGTGGAGGAGGAGCAGTGCAAACGGATGGTTCATGGGTTCATGAGAAAGGGCAAGTCATCACCTGAGACAGTGTTCTGGGGATTGTGCGTGAGAAGGTTCCTTTGCTGAATCCGAGGAGCCATGGCAATTGGAGGTTTCCCGGTTGGACGCATGTCAAAATGAGACCGTCCCTGCGTGCTGGATCAAATTGGTATGACTTTCGTGCAGTTCAACTAGCAGATTGGCACGACGGGCTCGAAGAATAACAGTTGCAGGAGGAAGAGGAGGAGGAAGAGGCAAGCAATACGAGTATCGTGCTGCTGCCTGTGTGGATGTGTGCTCCTGTGTTCGCACCTCCGGATTTGTTTCATGTCGGTTCCTGAACTGGAACAATGCGATTCAGAAATGGCACCAACGCGCCGACTGCCCACGTGGTAGTAGGGCCATGCAAAAGGATGGTCCACAGCCAGGCTGCTTCTCCTGTTGACCTTTTCCCGTTTATTACCCATAGTCCGGATTTGCAAGTCATCACTTCCGGCTAGATTCAGCAAAAGTGCCCATCCCATCATGCCAACATATGCCAACCTGGAGGCTGCTGCTGTCGCTGGCGCTCCGGCCGGCGCTGCAGCTGCAGATGTGCCTGAGGAGCCTTTGAAGCACCTGGGAGGTGTCAAGCGGAGTCTGTAAAGGATAGGCTGTCTTGTGGCCATTGGGAGTTGAAATCAGCAAAGGGCCGAACAGCCATTTGTTTCAATAGAACAAGTATATTGGCATGTACAAGTGCTGAATCGGCTTTCGAATTCAAAAAGACTGATGGTTTAGAAGGTGCTTGCTTGAGTGATGAGTAGGGCTATTATCTCGGTTGTTTCAATCCGTTTGCTGTTGTTTGTTTCTTGCCTACACCCGTTCAGCATACAGATATTTGTGAATATTCCTTGCAACTCCCGCCCTGCTATTGGCCAATTCGGGTGGCTACCTCACTGAGTGAGCTTTGGATGATCCACCAAAGGCATTGAGGGTTACCACGAGATTTGTCGCTTCCCGAGTTTTGCGACTGCCCAACTTGCCCTTTCCGCGGCAAACACGCCCAGGCCGGTGAGACGCCCATTCGCGCACGGGGCAAATATCTAGTAAGGCAGGGTGCGGGGCCTGTCGATCGCCAATCCCGCATCAAGCAGAGAGGCACGTGTGTCATGGGTCACTCTGGATAATACCGGCGCACTCAGCCGGTCTTGCTGGGCGGAGTCAGGTCGGTTTCCGGTCGCAAAAACCAAGGTTTCTTTGAGACATGCTGATGCGGGGTTGCGCATGTTTCTGCAAGAGGCTGGCGAACCACAAGACGGTCACACACATACTCATATTATTATTATATATATATATATAGTAAATAAATATAAAAAATCTATAGCCTGGCTTCCATTCCAAAGCGACGTTTAGTGGAAAACACGTGTTTGTGCATCCTTTTTTGGCACCATCCTGCTAGCTCCGACTGACAGCTAGGCGGAAGTCCGGAGAAGTCACGTCTCAGACTGCTGTGGTACCCATGGACCGCCAGCTTCCAACCTCCAAGCAAGCCAGCAAAAGCCACACTGTCAAGTAGCCATAGCGATTTTGACATAGGCTTGTACTGAGTCAAGATTGACTTCTCGGTCATAACCATTCTTCTACGCGAATGTCTTGTTTGTCTTCTTTGCTTGCCGACCTTCGCGAGGAGTTTTTGCCCAACTGATTTCTGTCCTTGGCATTGGCATGTGGTGTGCCAACCCACCATGGCATTCTGGTCAAGCAGCCATGTGATTTTCTTTGCATCGGAAGTGCCAGGATCGTTGCAGAGGGCGACAAAGAGGCGCCGGTTCGCTGAGCCATTTCTGCGGAGTTGCCAAACCTCCCAGGCCCTGCGAAATTACCTGCTGACTGAGCCAGTGGATGTGCTTCGGCAGCAATTTTCGCTTGTAGGGAAACCGCCCCAAGGGTGACAGGGTCTCAGAGAGCCTGAGGACATGTGGCAGACCACCCTGGATATGGAGGATGGGTGCTCTTGCAATGTGCGCGTGAGCATGTTGTGGTGGCTTGAAACCCTGACATTCTGGTCCCTTGAGCATATATGTATATTCATGAGCTATGGCGCCGAAAAGCCGTGACCCTTTCACTCAGGAGTGGCGGAGTGCAGCAGAGCAGAAGCAGATGGATAAGGACGCAGAGATGGCAACCTTTCGGTACAACCAGTGAATGCCATCAAAGCCAGTATAATTCATCCCTCCCCCTTGCTTGACAGGTGAAACAGCAAGCCAAAATATGCCAACTGACGCATTCTACTTGACGAACTGGTGATGGGCAATGCCGCCAGGATTTCGGCAAGCTGATCCCGGGAAAGGACTTCGGCTGGAGTGCACTTCGAGTGCAGTGTTGCTTGCGTCAGGCATGTCATGCTTTGCTTACGTGGTCAGATGTTATCAACATGGGAAGAGCAGATCATTCAATATTTCCCCGGATGTCAACCTCATTTGCAGTGAAGGGCAGTCATGACTTAAGTGTGAGCTCCAACCACAATTTGCACCCTCAGTCGCCCTTTGCCCCCTTCCGCGTGCGTAGCTCTCCAGCATTTTCTGACTTTGCGCAGGACTTTGCCGGCATTCTGCGGCAGCGGCCGGAGCTGAAGAAGTTTGTGCAGCAGGCCATGACTTCTCGCGCTCTTCTCGCCTGCGTCGTTCAGAAGTTCGGCGGGCTTGCCCGGAGGTGATGAAGCGAGAGATGCAACGCCGGGTTGCGCCCCTTGCCTCAGCCAAAGCCAACTGGCAATTATCAGAGTTTAGGCTTGGCTCGGCATGGCCTGAGTCGTGGTGAAGGGCTGACAAACCAAAATTGGATACCCGAGGTCATTCACGGGCAGGAAGAAGAAGTAGTGCCTCGTCATCAAGCAAATGATTTTCCCTGCAATTCCATTATGGCATCATTGCCTTGCCGCTTTGCGGATTTTGTGCCCGGAACGGGCGAAGTGCTTCGGCTGAGCCGATGGCCGCGGAAACTTCACCGGCGCGCTGAGTTTGCGCCTGGAACCTTGCAATGTGAAACGGGAAACGGGCGAGCTCCTCTCCTGTTGATAGGGGTGGGTTCCCATCTTCAGAAACTTTCGTGATTCCAGGTTTCAAAGCCACCAACTCAGCAGGCCATAGCAGGCCGACAGTCGCCCGGCAGACCAGCTGCCAAGCAGCCGGCGCGGGTGTCCCAAGGATGCGGCCGGATCGGCAGTGCCCAGGGCCTAGAGGCGACCGGATGAAAAGGCGTGCGGCTGGTGGGTCTATGCCACGCCCTGTGGCCGGATCATTGGGTCACACCATGAACTGCCGTAAACCAACGATTTGCTTGAAAGGATTGTTCAGAATCAGTTCCTGTTCAAGTCCACGTTCCGGGCTGCACTGCGCAATCGTCAGCAATTCGGGAAAGCCTCCGCCTCCCTTGGCCGCGTGCTCACCGTTGCATTTTGCACGTTCGGCTTTTCAACAGTTGGTGTCGAGAATATGTTTGTCGCGAAAGGTTGATTGCGCAAAACTTGATAATTAGTCAGGCGGCCAACAGGTCTTGTCGCATTCTTTGTTGTTGTTTTTTGGGCCTGGCTTTTGGGATCTTGTTCGGATGAAGCCTGGCATTGCCCCCCACCTCCAAGCTCTCGATATGATCCACCATCGAGACGGCTGATTTCGTCGAAGAGTGTCCAACATAGTACCGAAAGGGATCCGAGGGCAGTTTACCAGTTCCAAGATTATGAACCGTAAACCTGGGCAAGCTGGAACGAAAGATCCAAGACAGTGAACAACTATACCTCCAAACGCTCTTCCTGCCAAATGCGAGCGAATGCTGACTGCGGCGGTTCATTAGTTAGTTGATTGGTGCCCATGACGTGCCCCACATAGCTTGACTGGGAGCTAATCAATCGGGTGCAGTCAATGTAGAGTCTATAGTAGTCAAGCCTATGGTTTCAGGTGTGCGCAAGGTATAGCTTGCGAGGCTTGCGCTTCTTTGCAGCATCCTTGGCTTTGCGCCTTTGTTGAGTAATTACAGGTTTGTCAGGGCACTGATTTCTGCTGCCTGCCAGCGTCATTGTTTCCGAATTGCACGGGAGGAAGTTACGGCCTGAAAGCCTTTTTGCAGCGAGAAAAGCACAAGTCGGCGACAAGAGTTCCATATCAGGAAGACGGACAGCTTGAACAACGAGTCACGGTCCAGGGACTTGTTGACACACGGTAGGCAGCGGCAAGCTGGGAAGCAAATTAGGCAAGTGCTTGTTGAGTTCGTTGGTGATATACTTGATCACCTAATTAGTTTGTTTGTTGTTCGCTAGTCAATTAGTGCCCTAGCTAGCTATCAGCCAATGATTCTAGCCTATATCTGCGTTTTTGTCAGGCTTAGCATGATACCGCAACAGAGGTGGCTTGCGCATCTGCATCACCCGCCCAAAAAGTCGAAAGGGCTTTTGCAGGGTCAAGTTTTTCTGCCCCTTTCTTTCGTTTTCGATTCTCCCAAATTGCGCGGTTTCCACATTTTATCATTTTGCCCGCCGCACTGCAGACTGCAGAAGTCGTCCAAGACATCAAAGCTGTGTCAGTTAGTGACAGTGCCACGAACGTTCTCGCTACCTCTAAGGGTACAGTGTTGCCTGACCATACTGGGTGCATTGCTGCCAGAGGCGCTGTTTTAGCCCGGTCTTGGAAGCGTTTGAGGCAACGCCATGAGCCAGGAACCTGGGGGCTTGTGATGTTCTGTTCTTGCGATTGGTATGTCCACTTCCTTCAAATTAGGGGGAGGAGGGTGGCGAATGTAATTCCGTGTGTAGCAAGACTTTGGATACATGCAACTGGAGGACCCCTTTAGAGGGCGGAATTTGGGTTGGTCCTGTTAAACTTGTGACTGCCTGGCTTGGCCATTGACTGAGGCAGCCGAGATGTGCGCGCGGGGCGCGCCTCTGGCCCCGGCGTGGGCAGGTGTCGCGGAAAAAGGTACTAGCCCAACAGAGTTGCGCGGCGAGTGGTTTGCAGACGTTTTGCTTAGCCGTTTGCACCGATTTTCAGTTGCCAACGGGCAGGGAGTGTAAACAACGTGTACTGGGGGGCCCTTAAAATAGATGTGTGGTGAGTGTTTGCCTGCCTGCCTGATTGTCTGTTTGTCTACTTCTCGATCTCTTTGTCTCCCTGTTTGTATGTCTGTCTGCCTGTGTTCGTCTGCGTCTGTCTCCGTCTGTGTCTGGCTGTGTCTCTGCTTGTGTCTGTCTGTCTGTCTCTGTCTGTCTCTGTCTTCTTTCTGTTCGTCTCCGTCCGTCTCTATCTGTCTGTGTTTGTTTGCCTTTGTCTCTGTCTGTCTCTGTCTCTGCCTGTCTGTGTTTGTCTCTGTTTGTCTGTCTCTGTCTGTCTATGTCTGTCTGTGTCTGTGTTTGTGTCTGTCTCTCGCTGTCTGACTCTCTCTGTCTGTCTCTCTTTGTCTATCTCTCCGTCTGTCTCTGTCTCTGTCTCTCTCTCTCTGTCTGCTGTCTGTCGGTCGGTCTGTCTGTCTGTCTGTCTGTCTGTCTGTGTCTGTCTGTGTCTGTCTGTCTGTCTGTGTCTGTCTGTCTGTCTGTCTGTAGGCGTGTCTGTCGGCGTGTCTCCGTGCCTTTGTGTTTGCGTGTTTGCGTATCGACACTACCTTCCACAAAGTTCATATAGTCCTGCGTGGAATCTCTCTTTGCCGCATGTGGCAACTGCTGTCGTCAAACGTTTGCTCTTCTTTTTTCAGGCGACTGTTCCCACTGTGGAGGGCCAACCGCTTATCACTTTCTCATGTCTGGGGCTTCTCGTGGCTTGATGACCTGCTTGCGGCTTCGGGGTTGGCTTGGCCTCCCATGCAGGGCATGTGCTGCGGCCACGCCTGGCTCAAGCTTTACTGCGCCAATTGGCGCGTTGCTTCCAGGGAAGATCCCCCTCGTTTTGATTGGACATATTTCGGTAGTACCCTTCCCACGTTGAAGTTGCTGTTTGATTCTCCATGGATTTTGTGCACGCTTGAAATGCGCCCAAATGTACCTGACACTTTTGCTTGCTCATGTTGCTTTCAGGTTGCGCTCTGAAGGTCAAACATGCTCCACTGCTGGCCGTGTTGCACACAATCCTTCTATTCTGTTCCTTTTGAACAATCAAAGCCACTGGCCAAGAGCAAGAAGCAAGAAGCGGCCACAGCGCCTGGCCCTATGGGTGGCAGTTTCTTGGAGGCAACCGAGATGGTATCTCAAACCTTTCACAAACGGGCTGGGGCACTAGGGGCGGAGGGTAGTGGCCATCAACCTTTTCATTTGATCATTGCCCAACAATGGCTGCTAATGATTTCTGTGAAGCTATTACCTTGACTGACTGGCTGGCTGGCTGACTGAACTGACTGACTTGTTGGCTTCTGGACTGGCGGTTTGCCGGCTGACGAGCTCGGCAACCCTATGTACTCGTTGGCATGAGCGGGCAGATGCATTGCCTACTTAAATCTCGTTTTCCGGTTTGACACCGGAGGCTGGGCCATTTTGACCGACTCTAGCTTGATGATTGACCGGCTGGCAGTTCAGCGGGCTGGCGAAGCCCACAAGAAGTTTCAAAATACGCGAACTACAGTTTGTTCTCAATGTTGTATTGCTTCTTTCTCTCATCATGCTGGCTATCACATTTCTTTTATTTGTCGGTTTATTTTCCTTTCTTCCTTTCAGAGCGCTAGCTTCGAGCTTCTCTCTCTCTGTCTCGCTCTCTCTCTCTCTCTCTATATCTATGTATCTAGCTTATCTCGTCTTATTTCATCTACCTTATCTGTTTGTCTATCTATCTATCTATCTATCTATCTAGTTTATTGTATTTATCTAGCTAATCTATCTAATCTCCTATTTGTCCATCTATCTATCTGTGTATCTGTCTGTCTGTCTGTCTGTCTGTCGGTCGGTCGATCGATCGATCCATCTATGCATCTATGTACTGATCTATTTGCCTACCTTCCTCTTGCATTTGCATACCCATCTCTCTATTTATTTGTCTATCTATCTGTCCATAGGTCTACCCATCCAACCATCGATATATCTTTCCATCTACGTGTCTGTTGTTCATTTATGTACTTATCTGTCTACTTATGTAATCTATTTAATCGATATCCCTATCTACCTGTCTACTTATCTACAAATCTATTTCTCTGTCTAAAGCAAAATGTTTGATGATCTGGAGAAAGTGCTTCGCCTTCCACAAAATCTGCGCATGACCTTGCGAAAGTGCCGCGCCTGCCACAAAATCTGCGCATGTCCGTGCGAAAGGGCTGCGCCTGCCACGCAAAAGGCGTGTGCTTGCAAAGGGGCCTGGCTCCGAAAGCACTCTTGAACCCTTCTGAGCGCGTCCGACAAGGCATCGCGATCAGGCTACAGCCCCGAAGCCCGCACAGGGTTGCACTTTTTCGACATTGCTTTCCCCTACCACACGCGCAGGCATGTTTTTAGTCTTCAATCAGTTGCCGTACCCTGGAAGTAACTTCCTCAAAAACTTCCTTTGTTGAATGATGTTTTCGACGACGTTGCTCTCCAATTGCGCCCAGCACCTTGATCAGCATGAGTTCTTCGAGAATTCCAAGTGCCCAAGGCTCCAGCAAAGGGGCTGCAACGGTGGGGGCCAAAGCCAGCTATCCGGAGGCGCAATGTTTGTTGTGAGTTTCTTCAACCTGCCTTTTTGCACACTGACATAACATGAAGTGGTCGTATCAACCCTGTAGGGGCAGTAGCCAATGTACCTACTTGCGCACGGCTCAAGAATGGCGCAAAAATAGATCCAAACCTTTTGTCCGGCTTTACAGGGTGCGTGTTGGCATGCTTTCCATTTGAAGTGGACGATAGTGGACGTGGGAGCCCCGTAGTTGCATGCTAGTAGGAGCCAATAGGAGTCAGTTGCCTTCTATGCCGGTTCTTGGCCCGCAACTGCAGCGAGGTGCGGCCCTGCACTTTCTTTGGATGCTGCGAGACACCGGGAGAGTCAGGCTGGAAAGGTCAGTTTGGGCATTGCATCAGGATTTTGACCGTCTGGGTTTCTTTCATCTCCTGCCCCCGAAGTTTCTGCGTTTCCCTTTCTGCACGGCGCGAATTCGGAGACTCTAGCAGGGCAGTGCTCCCAATGGCAGTGCCGCTGGTGTTGGAAGCTTGTTTGGGTGGACAGGCGCATTGGCGGTAGAGCTTCTTGCAGACGCGGATGTGTATGCGATAGACAACCGGGATGTGGACGTGGAAGGGAACTCGTCGCCTGTCCCTGCCTTGGCATGTAGAACAAGTTGTGTGAGCTGGCTTTAGCCACGTCGCCTCAGGTTCCAGCAAAGCAGGGGAAGCAACCGGAGGCATACTCGACCTATTGGGGCACAAGCGTCCGACAAATGCGTGAGAGTGTTGGGGATGCCAGCCCCCTGCATCCCATTTAAGTCGAGACATGGCCGCCAATCGCCAGGGCACGCCTTCGGAAGAAGATCCAGAGGCTCCAGGCTCATCTCGCAACCTGGTGCGACTAAAGTCGATGCAACAGGCGGGGGGGGCGGCTCGAGGTCGAAAGCGCGGTGCAGGGAATCTGGCAACGGTCAAGCAGCAGCATCTCAACCAGCCATATTTTGGAACTGTTTAGAAAATCAAAGAAAGTTACAGCAACTTTTGGTTGCTTGGGATCGAGGGCGTCCTGTAAGGGGGCTCCAATTGACTACAATGATGAGAGCATATATGGGCTTGGGAGGGATGGCATGCGCCACTCTTGAGTTGGCACTGCAACTTCGCACGTTGAGGGCTTGCCGTGCACCCCCCCGCATGCCTTCCCCTTGCAAAAGAAGCTGCCAGGGCCCTCCCTGGGGACGCTTCGCAGCGTCACTTGGCCGGAAAGCAGTGGAAGGGATTGAAGGGATGGGGTGCAAGCAAGAGGAGACTTTGCCGGGAACAGGAAGGGCCTTACTGGAGGAATTTGGAAGTTTTTGTGGGCTTTAAAACGTCGACTTAAGACTTGGGCAGGTGGCAGGGAGGCTTTTGCACCCCGCTTCGCTTCAGATTTGAAGCCAGGGCGAGGTCAACTTAGGGCATTCCGACATCGCCGCCAAAAATGCGCCCTCTACTCTCACAGACACAGACACACGAACACAGACACAGCGTGCGGTTGGGCCGAATCTGAGGCTCTGGGTGTGCCGGTGCCTCAGACCTGTCGCTCGCTTTCCGGACCCTTCGGCCAAGCCCAGGCTGCACGCTCGCCTCTGGGATCCTACCTGGGCAGTCCCTCTTTGCGAGCCTTGCCAGCAAGTGGGCCACGGGCTGGCTACCCTGCTTTCGGTTGCTTCCTCTTGGACGGCTCATGGCCGAGTAGGCGACTTGTGCCATGGGGGGCATGCGCGTCACAGAAGTTTGAGCTGGCTCAGGGAGCTCTTCGCGGATGCCGGCGTTTTTGGCAGCATGTGCGAGGAGGGCAGGAATGCATGCAACTTGGCAGTATTGGGCAAGGTTGCATGTCAAGAGGATGTACAGGCCAGGGTTATCGCCGTAAGACTGAATTACCCAAGGTGTTGAAAGAAGACATTGCACAGTGACTGTGCCAAGCTGCAAGCTCAGCTGAGGCGAGGATCAATTCTTGGCAGCTTTGCTGCAATTATCTGCAATTGCTGCGAGCTTTATCATTGGCGGTGTCACTACCCCCGCTATTCAGGTCTTTGTGCTGGTGTGCTGTGTCTTCCAAGGAGTTTGGCTCATGCAAATACAGGCATAGCGAAATAACTTGTGTTTGACGGTGTTATTCTTGGCTGGGAGTTGCCCAACTAGGAGCATGGGAGGGCTGCGCAGCTAGTGAGTATGTGTAGCAAGGAAGCAACATGACATCAGCTGCTTGGAGGCGTCCGCTCTTTTGCGCAAAGGCGTTTTGAAGCCTAGCAGATGGCTGCTTTCAACGAAGGTTTTCAAGGATTCAAATCTGACGAGATTGCGTTGACCAAGGTGCTGACCAGCATTTTCGGCGCCGGCAGCTTAGCCCCCGACCATCCAGGAGAGTCCCCTAAATGAGGGTTTCACAACTCCCCCCCCCCTTGCCACAGGCAGCTCAAGCATGAAACCTTCGACCTTCGTCTACTGAATGGGAACCCAAATCCATGATTACCCACATGAGGCTTTCATTTGAGGGGCGGGCCGCAGACGCAGTTCTTCAGAAACAAGCCTAAGTGAAACTTTGCAGCACCAGTTGCAGTAGAGATGTTGAAAGGCGGGGCTCCTGTCCGGTTCCCCAAGGTTGGGCAGACGGTCGCCTACGGATTTTCTGCGCCCATCGGCTTATTCTACGACCGCTGGGGAGTGCTCCGGCTGCAAGCGCCAGGTGCACCCTGCCACACGGTTGTGGAAAATGTGTGATACCCAGAATCCCCGTAAAGTGACCTAGCCCAGAAAAATTGCTTCTGATGGCTTACTTCACTTTTTCCAGGCACATGTGCTGCCATTTGTGCGCTTGCCCAGCTCGGGAGACCAAGCGGCAAGCGGCTAGAGTCGCGCGCGAAAACTTTTTCCCTGGTTCAATAAGGCAGGAGCTGCAATAGCCACACTAGTTGGTTTTTTGGCCGCTTCATCAAGTAAGAAGCCCAAGCTTCGAACGAACAAAGACAAGAACCATTGGAGGCAATGATCGTGGGCACTGTCGGTGCTCTCCTTTGTGCAGTTGGGCTACTTCGGCAGCACATGGCGGCATTCTGGCTGGCCTTGTGTATTGAGTCGAGAGTTTGGCGATTTGCACGCCGCCAGTTTGGAAGCCGCATGCCACTGTTAGTCTGTGCGGCTGCGTTTCACAAGGGACATCAAGCTGCTTGCAGGTTGGCCCTGGTGACCTTATCAGTGGTGGGTGCCGCACATGGTTCCGCCTGGAGCTCAGCCGGCGTGAAAGGCCCAATGGGCTTAGAGCAACCAGCGGACCTCTGAGGACTCGGTCACCGCCAACCTTTTCGTCCTGGGAGACGCTTGGCTCAAGCCCTAAGTGCTTTTGGCGGGCCAGTGAATCTTTATGAATCTTTTTGCGGGTGCCGTTCTTCTGCGTTTCGCTCTTGGATCGGATCGCCAAAAGCCTGAGCACTCCCCTAGCCCCTTTAATCAACCATAAATCCGTAGAAACTTTACTTGAAACCTTAGGATGAAAACAACCCCCGCGGATTGGCCTAGGTTTTCGTGTGTGACTTTGGCTCGATGCTGAACAGCTCCTCGGATCACGTTTTGCTTGGTGGGCGATGGGTGGACGATCTGAGACCCGCAACAGTGTGCTTTTTGATAGTTATTTTCAGAGTTCGCATTCAGGGAGCCATCCCCACATTGGAGCTTTGACTACGGGCACCTGTCTTGGGCGTTGTTTTGTTGTGCCCCCTGGCTCACTTCTACTTGTATTGAAGCGTTGTGATTCTCCAGCTGGAACTGGAACTGGCAAAGCCTACTTTGCGTATCTTGGCATATTTTACTTGTACGATCTTCCAGCTGGAGCTCGATGTTTGACATGAAGCGTGCAGAAGCAGCCTTGCAAAATGAGGAACAACACAAAGTTTGCAAGGCGGCAAGAAGACGAGACGTGGTAGCTGACAACAGCGACAGCAAAACGATAACAACAGCGATCGCGATGCTGTTTTGCACGGAGATTGCCTTTTGCAGTCCCTTCCTCACATCCTGGCGTTTGCCACTGCAATTTCTGAAGCGTTGCGATGTTCAGATTTGGTGCCGTGAAAACACTGCAAAACAAGTGACGTTTCCGGGACAATCCAGAAGACATGACTGTGATTGGGCTTTCACTTGGGAGAGGTGGCTGCTCATCATCTCATCCTGGCCTAAGGTTTCTCCTTCATGGGCTTGATTTGGCACTTCCCCGGAAAGCAGACGCTGGTGATCGCGCTGATCAACGCCACGCGCCTCGCTTATTTGCTCCAATGACCAGCTGACCTGCCGTGGTTCATTTTTCCCGCGCTTTGCTTTAGCTGGCCGGGGTGGCGGAAGAGTATGAATGATTGCTTTTTGTCGGATGGCTTTGACATTCGACCCTAGTAGTCCCATTGGAGAATCCTGGCTTCGCACACTCTGAGGGGAAGAAAGGCCCCAGGATTGGATCCCTTTTGGGCGTTACGATCTCCACTACTGACGAGGAAGGAATCAATACATTCAATACATAAGCTCACGCTGGGGCTCAGCCTGAGTTGAGCCCCAATCTTGGCAGGTACCAGGCTTCCGCCCTGCTGCCACTGGCTTTGCAGGCCGTACCTTGGCAACTCGATCAGCCCAAGCTGCGCCAGGGATATTTGTGTTTTCTGTTGAGGTATTCTGACATCCGCGTGCAGGTTTCGCGTGCTTGCGTTTTCAAGACAAGGCGATGGATAGCTACTCTGTGCCCTTGTACGTGTACCTGAGCTTGTGGACCTTGGTGGTGCTTGGCAGTGTCTACGTGTGCTACGTGATGACCCCTTCGCAGGCGGAGCGCCTTGGATGAAAGGCCAAGAGGCTTACCTCCTCGGTTGCTGGCAGTTTCCCAGTTCAATCTGTTTGCTTCCAGGTCCTCGGCCAACAGTTAGAACCACGGGTCCTGCATGTCCTTTGGTGCATCTTGCTGCGCCCCCTCGGAATGCTTTCGGGAGTTGTTTTCTAGCCAGGCAAAATATCAGCAGGTCAAGCATATGTTTTTGTCGTGTTTTAGGAGGAAGGCTTACAGGTTTGTTTGGCGGCTGGTGTAATTGTTAGGCAAGGGTTTGAACGTTATCAAGAGTAGTTGAGCGTAATTTGCTGTTAGCAGCATTTCGTGTGATGCAGTACCCTCTTCGTTGTTTGTTCTGAGGTACTATGAGCAGGCGAAGAAAGTTTTAGGAATGCCGCTTCCGAAGCTTGGCTAGCAAGATGGCGGAGCCCTGTTCATGAAACCCCAGGTGACAGAAAAGGCCATGAGCCAAAAAAAGCAGTGAATCTTTTGCATGGCCGCCGAGGCGTCCGCCAGCAGATCTGAAAGTGCCCGGGCCTTAGGTCGGAGCCAGGCTCAGCGGCTCAAAGTGGCCTTGAGCTTCTCCTCTTTGCACGACCCACCACGGCCCACGCAGTGTCCCAGATCCTCTTGCTGGGCTCCTCAACGACAATCCGCACCTCTTCCATTTGGCTGGCGCACGGTTCTCCCCCCCCCCCCCCCCAAAAAAAAAAAAAGCAAAGAAGGCAACAGTTCAACTATTGGCCCTGATTTGGTTGGTGGGCGAGCATGGAGCTCCTTTGGGTCAGTTAAATTGATGGATTCCAGTGGCTTCAATTTGTGCTAGCTATTTCCCACTCGAACCCGCCGGTTACCTCGAAACACTCAGGTGTCACACCTTGGGGACAAAGAACGCAGCCCCAAACATACTCGCCTGGGGAAGACAGGCATAGGCCGCATTGGGTGGGGGCAGCCTCCCGCATCTGAGGCGGGAGATGGTGGGGAAGGCCTGGCAGGTGCTGCGACAGCACACCCCGCAACACGTGGCTTCCGGCCTGGCCCTGTCCTTCGGCTTTGCGCCCCTTGGAAACATGAGTATCTCCATGGGGGGAAGGGAGGCTGGTTTTGTTGACTCCCCCCTTTTTGCTGAGGGGCCCACAAACCACAAGGCAAACGGACATCAACAAACAGGTTTGGGGTTGGAGAAAACAGACACCCCCCCCATAACTTCATGCTAGTTTGCCTTTTGCGAAGACCGTGGGAATCAGGAAGTTTGGACTTTGGTTGGGCTAATCCATTCCCAAAGAGTACCCTGCGTGTGCTGGATGGTCCTTTGAAGGAAATTCGTTAGTAGATACGCCTGAAATGCAACGGTGAGTGAACCCGGGTTGTGGGTCACATGTTTATCCGTAACTTTCCCAAGCTGAAACGGCAAGGGGGGATTTTTTTTTTTTTTAAATGTTGCCAGGCCCCCAATTCGCCACCAGGTTGCCAGGCTACTATGCATCTATGGCCGCTTCTTGGCTGGAAAGCAATGCCCGCTGGAAGCGGGCAGGGGTGCCCGTCGCCATATCGGACAACACATACATGGTTTCCCCTCGGCCGCAAGTTGATCCTTTAATTTCAGGGCTTCGCCATCCAAAGCATGGGTGCCGACTTCAAGATGCAACAGTGGCCCAGTGATCTAAGAAGCTAAGGATCGCAAATGGCACGACGCCATTTACATGGAAGTTGACCTTCAGAATTTGCCCGTCAAAGTCCGACCCCGTCGGTTGACTTCCTTAATTAGAGCCATGAGAGGGTCCTCGCCTGAGACATGCCCCATCCCCACCTGGCTGCCAACGATTGAGGCTCCCTATGGTCAGGCGTTGTTTGGCACCGCTGCCGATGGCGAGAGGCGCGAAGGGGCCGAACATAGACGGCCTTGTTCGTGGATGAAAGCCGGTGTGTAGAGGCCAGACGAGTCCATGATCCCCTTTAACAACCTGAAAGGGAACCCTGCCTTTCAAGTGTGGGCGCTCCATTTGTTGCGCTTGGGACTCTTGGGGTGGAATCCTTGGCAAGAGGAAGAGTATGTCTCTGCAACTCAAGCTTCAAGGATGGCTCAAGTAGCTCGACGCCATTTTACTTCTCGAGCGGTTTGCGACGATAATATGTAAACACTCAGATCCTCCCCCAGCTGATGACATGTATCCTTCAGGGCAGGGTGGACACCGCTCACTGCGTCCTGAGGCTGGCGGAGATCAACGTTCTATGCACTTCGGTGGCGGCTTGGCACAAGTTTGAGGCTGATGCGTTCACACTAGTGAAACTAGTATGTCACCTTGGCGTTCCTGTAAATAGCAAGCAAAAGGGATCAAAAGGGTGCCCGCTGGATAGTAGAACAGACAGATTCCGGATTGAAGATTGATTTGCATGAGGACTGGTCTTGTCTTTTTGCGCACGCACCCTCATGCTAATTTGCAGATAATATGACTTCCAGTCGAGCCCGCTTTAGACTTCCTATCGGTGCAGGCGTACCGCCATAATTGCACCACAGGTTGGCCTAGCTGTGGGCCCCTTCTCTGGCAGCATTGGAGACCACTTCGGCCTGGAGGCTGTGAGCGGAGAGTCTCATTTGTAGCACTTTGCTGAGTTTAGTGCAGCAACTGGCATATCGATGCATTCCATGCTTTCTTCGTGGCCATTGGGGCTGTTCATGTGCCTGAAATGGTGCATGGTGATAGTGCAATGTGCTCCCAAAAGAGGCATGGTAAAAAGGGAGTTTCGCGGCAACAATTTAGCTGCATCTTTTTGCGGGCAGGGCGGAATCCAGTATTTGATTGTGCCAAGACTCCGAGCAATGCAGATAGCCTCCGAACGGCGTATTTTCAGAACCGGTGAGTACCATTGAGAAATTCGCTGGAGAGACGAGTTTTCATGAGATTGTGTTTTCCCCAGCGCCATCGCAGTACGAATGTCTGGCAGCATGTGGCGAATCTATGCAGGTCAGTCCAGATCGGAGCCCTGAGGGGTGGACTGTTGCTGGTCCCCTGTTCCCACGGGTTACTTTGTCCCGGGGCTGTTGGGCCAGGTGCTCATTGTGCTTCTCGTCATCCTCACGGGCTTGGCCACCGTGACCCTGCTGTTGGCTTCCTGGCCGGCGCAGATCCTTTGCGCGCAGCTCGGGCCAATGAGTCGAACGAGTCGCCTTTTGGGCAAAATGGTGGGGGAGGGGTTGGAAGAAGGGGGGGCCAGAAATCATGAATTAAGAGTTTTGGAGGGCAGGGGACCAATGTATAGTCATCCGTATCCCTGTTGGTGGATGTGTACAGTACCCAGGATGCCTCTCTGCGAACATATTTATCTACGAATGCCGTGCGTGTGCAGAGCTCACATGGGTTCCGCATCAGTCAGTTTGTTGCAAGTTGTCCTTAATTATTTGAGTACTAGTCTCAGTTGGCAAGGTGACGCGGTGACACCGACCTTGTTTTCATGATTTTGTTTGAGCCCACGCTGTTACCCCAGTGGCTGGTTGCTGCAGAGAGAGAGGTCCTTTGTCGCTGCCCTAGGTCGTCCTTGACTTTCTTCACCGCGCTCTTTTCAATCTTCGTCTCCCGTTATTTGCTTCTGCAACTTGGCAGACAGGCCGAGGCTCGCCGCCGGCAAGCGGGCAGCTTCCACAGATGTCAGCCGCAACCCAGCTTTGCCGCAACCAAGCGAGTAAGATGTCCTCTGCTGTTGGGTATGGTTTGACAAGCTGGCTTTGGGGAGAGAAGAGCGCTGTTGAGGGCACGTTAAATCCAGCAGCGAGCCAAGGTACTCGCCTCCAAATCGTTATGGCGCCGTGCAGGGTATTTATATGCTCGCGCGGCTCACAGATGGGAGCGCTCACATCTCATTACGTTTATCAAGATGAGTTTTGGAGCCTTTACCGTGTGCCAGACAAGATGGCCCTGTCAAAGCGGATCAGTGAAGAAATCCAGATGCCCCCCTGCCGGAAAAGGCTGTTAAATCCGACTCCCCATTCTGGTTTCCGCGCATGAGGCGCGCAGGCCAGGGACAAAAAATTTGGATTGGACCGCCTGGGTGAGCAAGGAAGCTTGAATATTCCCGGGTCCTTGCCCGGAACTTGTGTTGACATGACTTGACAATTTGGCAAGGTACCAACGGACGCCTTGCCAAGTGATGATGCGTGCTTCAGCCAAACACTTGAAAGCTAAGGTGGTCATCTTAATCAGCACGCCCTGGTCTCTGGGCGGAGTTGCGGCGCCTTGGAAGTGCTTCCGGGCCCCCAGGGGTTTGGAACCTTTCTGGTTGCGAAGTGAGTTGCACGGGTGGTTTCCCTTGACACACCCTCCTACCCACGGCCGTGAAATTAAAGCAGACAGATGGTGTGAAAGATGCCTGCGTCAACATACGCCCCGTGTGTTGAGTTGCATGCTTAACGGGATGTTTAAGTTGTTTCTTGCACGTCGTGGCACCGGCCAGCAGCACCCTCCAACCAAAACGACAGTCATAATTGTTCTTTCTTCTTGAGAAACAATCTCGGAACTCATTTCGCCCTCCTCGCATTCCGGTTGCGGTGGAGCATGCAAGTCAGCACAAGGGGCGTGCGCGCACAGCTCAAAAACTGGGCGCACGACACTAGCGTGCGAGCGTGCGGGCCACTCGCTGGGGCGCTCCCTGCCCATCTCATCAGTCAACGAAGTGGCCTCGTTTCGTCCACTTCGCCTTGGCTATCCCGGCTCCCCAGCCAGGGTTAATCAGCACCGGTGTCTGTCTTTCTCGCCACGGGCTGGATCACAGGACCCACCTCAGCTGCTCAAGGAGGCTACGCGATTCTTCAGAGGTCAAAAGTCACCGTCACGCGCTGAACTACTGGAGTGCCCCTTACCACTCTTGAGCCAGAGCTTCGCCGATTGCTGCATCTCCGGGAACAGCGCCGGTGCCCTCTGACGGCAATCTAGATCCAGGCTCACCTTCCGCACTCTAAGCTTGGCACTTGGCGCAGCTCTTCAACTCGGCGCTTTTCTTTTCTCCCTCCTATTTTCCACCAAAATCTTAGCTTCCATTTGAGGCGTTTTTCCCTTTCCAAGCCAAGGCCTCTTGTCATAGCCTTTTCCTTCATGCTAAGCTTGTCGAAGCTCTCAAGCTTGAGCTTCCCTTTTCCCCTCACTCTTCTGGAAAGTGCTGGCCTGGCCATCTTGGCTTGCAGGCCAGGCTCATCATCGGAGGTAAAGCCCCTGGCCTTCCTTGCGTAGGACGTTTGCGGCTGACGCATGCGCGCGTCCCAGCCTTCGAGGACCTCTTCGTAGTTTGCGTCGCTAGACTCGCCTTCCTTTCCCTTTTGGCGAAAAGCGCAGACGATGGTTCCCTCGTCCCTCTTTCAGAGCATGTGGATGAATTGGGGTATCAGCCGACCATGCGGAAGAACAGCTCGCGAGCATTTGGGAGGTTTAGGCGAAAGTAGATGGACTGAATTCCAAAGATCATGTTTGTGAGAAACGGCGTCATGCCTTTGTCTGGCTTCGGAGCCCAGTAATCTCGCCATTCCGCTCTTCGCCTCCAGGCCAAGAGGGGAAGAAACAGTGACATGGTGCTGTGTCGCGGGATGCAGGGGCTACTGCGCGGATTGAGAGCCCACACTGTCCCACTGGAGCTTTGTTTAGCTCTGCTCAAGCCGGTTGGTCGATTCCATATGTTGTCAACTTCGGTGGTTGGCCCAGCCAAAGCACAGCATGTTTCAGAGCTATCCTTCTATGGCCTCAATTGAACAAATGGTTGCATTGCCGCTTGGCTTTCCCTAAGAAGTAGCGGCCAGCTTCTGGATTCGGGAGCTTGGGCGCTGGAGCTAGCGGGACCTTTGGTCAAGTTTAAGGCTGGCATGACACTCGTTGCTAGTGACACGGGCACAATTTGAATGTCCTTGTTTGACGGTTAAGATGAGCGGGCGCTTGATGAGAAAAGTGAAAAATGTAGCATTGAATCAATGCTGAAACAGGAGCCAGCGCTATTTACGAAGCCAACGCAATATCAATACTAAACCAATACAGTTCTACACTAAGCCAATATTGAACCAATACTAGACCAAATTGCTTGCCCAACATACTCTGTGACGGTCACCCTCGCCTGTGATTGCTTGGGACCAAGGCAACGGCGCTGCTTGGCACAGGCTCGGCATTCTTAGGCTGCAGTGTGACAGGTTAGGCCCTGGTTCACACCATGATGCCATGTGCCTGTTAGGTCGTGTGGAGGTCCTTGGGTTCACTGCTGGGTCCGGGCCACCTAGCATGGGACCCCACAAACAAGGATTAGACCGGATTAGCACTGAGGGGCACCAGACGCCATCGCGCCTTTTTTTGGGAGTGTGTTTTGGTAACCTTTGCTGCAGGACTGGGCGCCTACACAATTCCCATGTTGGTCTTTGGGCTGCCGGGAGCTCGAAGTGCGTGTCGCAGTCTGGTATATGTTTCTTATCCCTGGTTCTGCTTGAGGACCGGGGTGGTAAGCCTCGCCTGGTATGCCCAGCGCTTGGATTATTCGTGGGGCATGTGGCAATTTGACTAGGCTCACATGTGACCCAATGCCAGCTTCTGAAGCAGGATGCCTCCACACTGCATAGTATTGGTTTTGGTCGACATTTAAGACCCCTTTGGAACCGTGCTTCAAACTTCAGTAGGGTCGTTGGAATTTGCTTTTGCTTGTGCCCGAGGCCTGGTATTTCCGACAGAACCCGCCACCACAGAATCCGACTCTGTTGCCTGAGGATGAGGCGGGTGTGGTGTTGAGAGGCACAGCTCAGAGCCGAGCTCAGGTGGAGTTGGCAATACGCTTCGGGTGTGGGAACTTGGAGGAGGCGGGCAGGCCAAACAAAGCTACAGGTGGAAGCCCCCTGATTTGGCTTGTGACCTCTTAAACAAAAAGATCGAGTAGGAGCCTTCACGGGGGTGCTCAACTTAGGTGATGGAGGTGACCCACATGAGCAGCCGCAAGGAACTGATCCGGAAGCTTGCATCCACGGACCCCGATGCCAGGGGCCGAGCATGGCCAACCGCGGGAGTTTCAAAATGTGGCTTTCCCGTAATCCAGAGGCTGTTTTGCACTTTGGTGTCTGTGAGGCTTCAGATCTGGTACCAAGTGGTTGAGCGATCTTGTGTATTCAGCATGTTGCTTTGATTCAGGCCAGCTTGGTTTCGCGTTGCTGACATTCACCCCATGGATGTTTGAACCAAGGTGATTCTAAGCCTTATGAAAAGCATCGACATGGAGAAGATGATGGAGCTGTGGCTGATAAATGCTGATACCTTTTTGAGGATGGACAAGTGGCATGCGTGCATGACTGCGGGGTTCTTTAGTGGGAAACCAAAAGCCAAGAAGAGAGACCAGAACCTCCGTCTGACAATCGAGAGACATCCGTTTGGATGTTGTTTGCTTTGTTGTTTGATTGCCTGGCCGGAAGCTGGAGTGCCAGCAAAACTTGGATTTTCGGCGTGGCTGGTGGCGGGGCTCTGATCTGAGGAAATGATGTCACGGCCCCAGCATCGTCCCAGGAAACATTCTAGCATTCTTCGCTCAGGTACCCCTTAATTGGTGGTTTGGGTGGGGGTGGTTCAGGAGGGTAAATGGACCAATCAGGCGGAAGCTGATTCGCTGTGAGGGTTCAATCTCGAGGACAAGCCCCATTGATTACCTGCCATGGCACACCATGGCATGCCATGCCATATCACCACGTTGCGTGACATTGGAATACATTGACATGCCGTGAAGCTTTTGCTCATGCAGACGAAGGACCCCGAGCATGTCTTGACTAATTACTGCATCAGAAGACATGGATTCTGATTTTTCCAACCAACACTGAAAAAGTGCTCCACAAACGAGAGACTACTCGTGGTTGGGGCTCACAACCCATCAACAACTCAGCCAAAGCTGGCCAACAAACGACGCGTAAATGCGGTCTTGTGAGAAATGGGACTCGAGTCCAGTCTGGGCTCAATTGCTCAGAGTCCAGGGTGCAAGGCAGCTCCGTGGCCCTTCAAATGCAGCTCCGTGTTCAGGTCCCGTCGATCCGTGGATGACATCTTAGACGCTGGGCTGAATTCGATACGCGTGGTGCAGCTTCAGGGGGCCATCTAGGGAATCGATTTGGGAATCAGATTCTGTTTAGAATGCCAAGACGAACCAACCGGCCCGAGGGAAATGGGCACACAAGAGCCGATGACCCTCAGCGCCTTTCTGAGTCAAACGTGCTTCCAACCGCCACTCAACGCAGCTGAAAGCAAGTTGGGCCTAGGCCATGATGGAGGCCGAGGAGAGAAGCTGTGGAAATGGATTCCTCAAGTCGTCACCTGGCAATGTGTTCTGGGATGATTCTGCGGTTCTGAGCTAAATCAAGGAGCCAATTGGAGGCGACCGCAGTGGACAGGCGAAACTTTGGATTATGTCATTTCACCTTTTTGTGCAATTACTGCCGGATGCCTGGACCCATCGGCATTAAATCTGTCAAATGGAAGATGGGATCTAAATGAGCAGGTTAGGATTGACTTGCAGCGCGTTTGTATTAGCAACTGGGACTGGGAGGCCAAGCTGATCGATGGATGTAGTTGCAAACAACGCTTTGCCTTCAATCGCGCATGGCAAATGGAGCGAGCGCGGCTCAAGCGTGTTTTATTGTTTGCATGCACGTGTTAGAAAGGCAAGCCGAGAAGAAGCGTGAAGGCGGATCAAGTAGACAAGTTCGCTGAAGTACCTAAGGGTTCACCGGAAGGCTTAAGTTTAATATCGCCTCGAAATCCGGAAGGCACGAGCCATGGCTTCGTGCTAGACGAATTTGGTATGAACTGTGGGACAGTGATCGCTCAGTTCAGTTGCCCAGATGGGCTAGTAGAATGAAAGCTGCAGGAGGAAGAGGAAGCGGAGGAAGAGGAGGAGGAGGAGGCAAGCAAGACGAGCATGGCCTTGCTGCACGGGGATGTGACTCTCTTCTTTTGCACCTCGGGAAAAGACACCATGCCGCGGGTCCCTTTATTTTTTGTCCGCAAATTCGATTTTGCCGCAGGGGCCATGCAAAAGGGGCCCTTGTCCAAAGCCAGGCGTGACAGCCCCAGCCTTCCAATCCCCAACTCCTAAGTTATGACCTGTGGCCCGGATGTGCGAGAGATCGCTTCCGGCTGGAGGCTGATGCTCCCGCGGGCACGCTCACTGCAGATGTGGAGGAGCCTTTGAAGCACCCGGGAGGTGTCAAGCAAACTCTCTAAAAGAGTGGCTTTCTTGTGGCAGGCGTATGGGACACCTTCGGGGTGGTTTGGGCTTCAAATAAGGCCATGGTTTCAAAATGTGCTTTGGTGAGCCGTGTGAGTAGGGCTGTTATCTCGGTTGTTTCAGGCCGTTTGCTGTTGTTCGTTTCCACCTTACATCCATTCAGAATACAGATGTTTGTGAATGTTCCTTGCAACTCTTGCCCTGCTTTTGGCTGATGCAGGTGTCTACCTCACTGAGTGAGTTTGAGCATGCTTTTGGGTGAAGCTTGGATGATCCACGAAAGGAATTTGGGCGAGGCCTTTTTTCTCCCACCCTTCAAGCCATTTGGCACTTGTTGTTTCCCGAGTTTTGCCACTGCCCAACTTGCCTTTCCCGCAACAGCCCATGACATGTCCAGGCCAGTGAGACTCCCATTCGCGCACGGGGAATCCACTTGGTAAGGCAGGGTGCCGGGCCTGTCGATCGCCGATCGTGGATCACTCAGGCACCGGTGTCATGGTGTCATGGGTCAGTGTGGAAACCAGCGCTCTCGGCCCCTCATGGCGACTCTTGCTAGGAGTCCGGCTCGTCTCCGTTCGCAAAGAACCAAGCAGAGGTTCCTGGTTTGAGACATGTCGATGCGGGTTTGCGAATGTTTCTGCAGGAAGCGAGCGAGCCAGAAGAAACTTACATTGGAACGCAGTCGTTCCAAAGCCATTGGGTGGAGGACATGAGTGTGTGGCTCCTTTTGCACCATTCCAGGTCCGACGGCCCGGGCACAAGTGCGCAAAAGTGTTGTCTCAGGTTCCTGTGCGCGGGCGTGGGTGGTGGCTTTGGTGGTACTGGTTGCCTCCACGCCGATGCCCATGAAGCCCAAGTTTCCGACCTGCAAGCCAAAGGCACAACTTCCAGCAGTCACTTGGAAATGAAAGGATTGTGTTGGGGACAGTTCGTTCTTCACGGCATTGTGCGTACATCTCTGTGTGTGCGAGTCAAGCCAGATCCCATGAGACTCTTGGATGTGTATATGTTCACCCGCTGCCGTAACAGGCCTTGAGCTATCATGGATGCGTAGCAAAACAAGATGCTAACGCGGCATTTTGCTGTCAGTTGGTAGCGGAGCCGGCAACGTCCGGCTGGCACCATGGATCCCTGGGCGGCCTATCTGGCCAGACAGGTGATCGGTGGCAACCCAGCCCAGGCTGGAGGCCCACAGGGAGGTGGAGCTCATGCTCAGGGAGCACAAGGAGCTCATGCTCAAGGAGCACAGGACGCACCGTCAGGGACGGCACCAGCGAATTCATCTGCAACGGGCACGATGCCCCCGCCTGGCACTTTCTTGCCAAACGGCAATTTTGGTGGCAAAGGCGCTCAGTTTTCACCGGATCCACGAGGTGGTCAATTCGGCGGCGGACCAGCATTTGCAGCTTGGGGTGGCGTTTTGCCTTCAGGAGGATTCCCACAAGGGATGCACTTTCCTCCTGGACATGGACTTGATCCTTCGAGCTTACCGCAATTTGGTTTCGCAACCGGCTTGGCTCAGCAGTTTTCCGGTATAGGACAGAGCAATCTTGGTGCAATGCAGAATGGTGCAATGCAGAACATTGGTTGCGCAGGCAGCCCGGATGCTTGCAGAATTTTGGATGCGCTGGCTTAAGGCCACCTCCTGGTTTTTATGCTACCTCGGCGCCCATGGGAGATTTTTCACGAGCCCAAGGAGATGCAGCTGCAAGAACAGTAGGATCCTCATCTGGTTTTCAACCTGGCGCGAACCCTTCTGGACAAAACCAATGCGGTGGTGCCGAAGCAGCTACACGAGCACTTTTTGAGCAGACCGCGAATACAGCGGGCAATCAGAAGGTGGACTCGGCTTTTGCAGCTTTGGGAATGCCGAATGCGGCAACGGGAGCACCAAGCTCATCTGCGCAGCCAAGCCAAGTCGAACTGATCAAGGCAATGGTGAATGCCTTATCTGGCGAGAAGAGGAGCTTGCCTGCGTGGGATGGGAATCCATCGTCACTTAGGACATGGCTGAAACTCTTGAGCCATTGGGAGCTGGAGACGACGCTTCCGAAGGCGCGGTGGGGTTTGAAGCTGTATCAGAGCTTCACGGACAAGACCCCTCCAAGACGTTTGGCGGATTCTATCCCGGTGGAGAAGATGCTGACAGAGGAAGGTTATGGATTGATCCTTTCTGCCTTGGTCAACTACTACAGGCCGTATTTGGATATTCAAGGGCCATCCTCTGTAGACAAGTTTTTCTACGCGGGCGACCGCCAGAAGGGCGAGAGTTTTACAACCTTTGTGGCAAACAAGGAGCTTGCATTACAGGAACTGGAAATGCAGCTTGGCGAAACCTTGAATACCAAGGTCACCGGACGTGTGTTGCTGCGGCAGGCGCATTTGACCGATTTTCAGAGGGAGCTTATTTCATTGAAGGACCAATCGCAGTTTTTGACCTTTCAGCAGGTTGCAGATCTTTTGAGGCCTTTGGACAGGCCCGAGATGATTGCAAAAGCAGCTGGTCAAGACGTTGGTCAAAGCAATACTGGCTCTGGAAAGTTGGCTTTCGCCGCGCAGGTTCATGGTGACCAAGATGGTTGGGACTATGAGGAGGACGGTTACCCCTACGATGAGGGTGACGGCGAGTCAGAAGAGCTTCTGCCCGACGAGGAGCTCGAAGAAGACATGATGGTCTTCGAAGACAAGGAGTACGACGAGCTGGAAGCCACATGGATTCAGGCATATCACACTGCTTACAAGGATGTTCGCCGTGACCTTCAGGCTCGGCGGAAAGAACGTGGCTTCGTCAAGCATCGCAAGGGCTATGGCAAGTCCAAGCATGACAAAGGCTCCCGCGGCAAGCACGGCAAGTACGGCAAAGGCGGAAAGAAGCGAGTGATGAAGGGATCTGATCAGGAACTGCAATCTCGGACGAGGTGCTACAACTGTGATGAGCTGGGCCATTTTGCTCGGGAATGCCCACTCCTCAAAGGTGGTGACGCCGGTGGCAAAGGAGACCGAGCCAAGGACAAGAAGGTCAGTTTCATTGTGAGCTCAGGGGCGAATCAATCGACTGCCTTCATGATGCGCCGAAGGCGGCCACCCGACTCAGCCGAACGAGTAGCACCCGACCGACCAGACAGACCTGAAGAAGCAGATCCGACAGACCCCCCTGAACCTGTGCTTGATCATGGACCTCTGGCCAGAAGGATCAGTATCTTCGCTGGTGTGAGGTGTCAGGACTTTCAAGCATTGGTTGACACCGCAGCGGAGGATGCTGTTTGCGGCAGTGAGGCTTTTGCGAGAATGGAGGCCAGTCTGCAAAACTGGAATCTGAAGCCTCGGGTGGTTAAATCTGCAAGGCATCTGCCGTGTGCTGGCATTGGAGGCGAGGCAGAGATCTGCAAGGTGGTGGATGTGCCAACCAATGTGGCCGGGGTGAACGGCATCATTCGGTTCACCATCATCCAAGACTCGGAAGCCTTTCAGACGCCTCCCCTCTTGCCGGTCAGCTATTTGGAGGCGGTTCGGGCGATCGTGAATTTTGACACTGGTCGGTATCATCTTCCTGATGGACGATCGGATTACATGGTCAGGTTGCCCACCGGACATCGTGCCATCAACATCTTGAATTTCGATACCTGTGCATGGCAGTTGCCGGACAACCTGAGGACATCTGATGGTCAAGATCCTTATGCACTATTTGACCGGCCCGAACGTAGGCCCCATGGACGGCATGCATCCAGATCCAGATCGCCAACGAGGGCCAGAGATCATGCAGAACAACCAGAACAACCACAAGGTCTGGCACGTTTTGATGCGGCTCACCCATTTCTGGAAGTGTGGCTGAGGGACAAGGACAACCGGGTGAAGTGCGTTGCAGTGCTGCCCGGTTGGCGACGACACCTTCCACTGCCGGATGGGTGCCATTTGGGTGAAGACGTGGACCTAATACCAGATCGCTACATCAACGTGGTGTACCGGGATGGCCATGTCATGAGGGTCAAGGACGTGTGGAATGTGCCGCAAGCTCAACGTGCTCTTCCTCAAGAATGGCACGGTCAGGTCTACTTTCAGGAGCGGCGACCAGTGCCTGATACTCCTTTTCAGGCCACTAGTGGGCACGAGGACTCCTCAAGCAATGGACATTCTGGGAGCCCGTCTTCGCCCCCCGATTATGAAGGTTTGCATTTTGCAGCCTCGTCAGCACGCTCCAGTTCGGCATCAGCCTTTGCACCAGCAACTGGACGGCACGCTCATGCATGTATCGAAGCAGAGCCGGAGCGCTCTCATGTACAGACGTCACCCGAATGTGACCTCGATGTCGATGAAAACTACACGGGTGGTGTCGAGGGTGATGCGTTTTTCGCCATCGAGGCTCCGACTGAGGTCCCTACAGTTGAGGCTCCTGTCCGTGAGATTGAAATTTGCCTGCCTCGGACTCTGCGACAGTCATGGTGGAATTGTGCACGTCGCCGTGGCAGCAACATGCTCAAGTGGACACGGAGTCCCGCAATTCGTTTCCCCCTTCTTTGGGCACTTCTCCAAAGCCATGGACTTGCGTCGGAAGATCGATCAGATGGCTTGCCTGGAGAGCGACGGCGAGCAGGAGAAGGTCAAGAAGATGGGGGTGGCCAAGTGTGTCCACATTTGGAGACGCTTGGTGCTGGCCTTGTCAACGATGCTTGTCACCGCGCGTCAGCAGGCGGTGGTGGACTAATTACCTGGCGAAGAGGGCGCATCAGAACGACGAGAACGAGGAGCACTCCAAGAACAAGAACCAGCGGTCCAAGGTCAGGAAGCCCAAGGACCCAGACCGCGAGATTCCTCAGGGCATCGGAAAGCCACTTCCGAGATCACAGGCGCAGAAGCATTGGGCCCTGGAGGTGAAGGAATGTCAACATCCGGCGGAACATCTGCGGTGCCGGGCAAATCGACACGGCTCATGGTGGACGTGCCTGCTGTGCGGAGCCCGGTGGGAACGGTTGGAGACTCCAGCGAGTGCTTCGTCATCGAAGGCACCGGAAGCCCCGCAAGCCAAGAAACTCCTACTCGAGAAGGGCGTGGAGTATCCTCAGTTTCTACCAGCACCCAGATCCCGTCCGGAGCAGGGAGACTTGGAGGTCATAGTCAACCGCATGGGCAAGCCAGTGGTTTCGACGCACAAGAAGCACGACAACTGCCAGAAGGACAACAGCGACCTGAAGACGGCCGGCCCGATCAAGGAACCTATGCACGCCGGCATCCAGGTCAAGCAGGAGAAGAACGACGAGGACAAGAAGGTGAGGCGTCCATCGGGCTTGCGAACAGTCCGAAGGTCCAAGACGCCAAACCGGGACAACAAACCGGAACCGGAGCTGTACGAACTCAGCTCCCACAGCAGCGAGTGGGAAGACGAGGACATGACATTGGTGAAGTAGAACAACCCGCACTTCCGGGACACCATCATGTCCTAGTCACACCTAAGAAGGAGTTGTTCGTGAGCGACAAGGCCCAGAAGCTCTATGCGAAGATCTCTCGACTGGGATATGCTCTGACCACGGTCATGATTTACCTCTCGACTACTTCAAGAACCATGGAGAGCATCCCAGACTACCTGATCGGCAACATGGTGCAGGTCTACGGGTGGAAGTCTAAAGAGGGTCTCTGGGACACTATCAGCATCTACCCGGGGACTAACGAACACTACCAGCACGTGGACGAATGGTGCTATGTTTTTCGCCAGCCAGAGCACATGCACTCATGGGTGACCGACCAGGACGGCGAGGTGATCAAACTGGATCGCAAGGAGCAGCACTATCTGGCCAACTACATCAGTCAGAACACCAAGGTGGATGTCATGGAGGTTTACAGTCCTCCTCGACTGGCCAAGAGGGCGAGCAGGCTGGGACTCCGACCTGGTGCTTCGCTAGACTTGGTCACCGGATGGGATTTCAATCGTGCGGATCACAGACAGGCGTCTTTGGACCTCATCAGACGATTGAGACCAGCCTTGGTAGTCCTGAGCCCACCATGTACGGTGTTCAGCCAACTACGAGCCCTCACGAACTACAAGCGCAATCCGAGAGACGTTCGGCGAGAAGAAGCAGAGGGACGAGCTCATGTGGAACATGCAGTCCGTATCGCATGGATTCAGATTTCAGGTGGAAGAGGATTCTTGTTTGAGCACCCCTTGCGGGCGAAGTCATGGACCACGACTTCCCTCGAGGAACTGAAGGAGTACCCGGAGGTCAAGGCGGTGACCCTCGACATGTGCCGTTTTGGACTTCAGACTCCCGACTCCTCGAGAACAAGGATGATGCCAGCCAAGAAGCCGACCCTCATCATCACGAACATCCCGGAGATAGCCAGCGCCCTGAATCGGAGATGTCAGGGGCATCATGAAGAGCATCAACTCTTGGTGGGAGATCGACGAGCCAATAATGCAGCAGTGTACCCACAACCTTTCGTGGACGAGATCCTCAAGGCGCTGAGGAAGCACATCAGGGCTTCTCACTTTCCAGTGGTCGAGCTCAAGGATCGCTGGGAAGTTCGACACAACCAGCTCATTTGCCGACATTTCCAACCTCGGCAACAGCTTTGCACTCTTGAAGAGTGCGAGGAATTTGATTTCCCCGTGGAGAAGTTCACTGGGAAACGGACTACGACCAAGACCTACGAGGATGGAAGCACCAAACAGTCAGTGGATGACTGGCGCTTTCACACGAGCACTACGACGAGTTCCGCCGCCCAACGGTGGACAGGGACTACGGCTTTCGATCTCATCATTGAGGTGATGCTGCCCGCCGATTACCAGAATCGGGCAACATGGATTTCAGCAGCCGCTGCACACCCCATACAGGAGTATGTGACGGCAGAAGGCGCTTTTCAGTCTGAGTGGTGTGCCATATATCCCACTCGGAAGCTTTTTGACAGAGCGGTGCCGTCGGCTCATTCAGACGGCAGAGCTAGTCGCATCCCAAAAGAAGAAGGCCATGAACGCGGAGATGAACAGCGAGTAGATCAAGAACTACGCTCGCGAGTTCTACCAGAGGAACTCGGACGAGGAGACCAAGAAGGAGACGATCAACTACATCCAGAGTTGAGGCGTGAACTGTATCGAGTTCACAGGAATCTGGGTCATCCAGACCTATCCACATTCGTGCGTGGACTACGTCACGCAGGCGCGAAACAGGAGATCCTCGCCTGGGTGAAGAAGTATTTCAAGTGCCCGTTGTGCGAAAGACGGAAGAAGCCTGGCTCACAACGGCCCGGTCATTTGGCGAGAGCCATGGGTTTCAACGAGTGCATCGGCATCGACCTCTTCTTCATCAAGGATCGGGTCTTCTTGAACGTGGTTTGCCTCGGCACGAGTCTGCAGATCGTGGAGATGATCAACGACAAGACGTCGGAGCAAGTCACCGCGGCCCTGCTGAGAACGTGGTTCGCTCACTATGGGGCTCCGAGAATGCTGATATGTGATCAAGGTGGTGAGTTCGTCGGAAGTAAGTTCGCCGACACCCTCACTGACCTGGGCGTCATCGTTCATTACACGGACGTGGCAAGTCCTTGGCAGAATGGGCGTGTGGAACGCTTTGGTGGCTCATTCAAGAGCACGCTGGAAACGGTGATTCACGAGCTGACCATACAGACCGAGGAGGAGCTGCAAATAGCGGTAGCATCTACGCAGGTGGCGAGAAATCGTTACTACGATCGGTCAGGGTTCAGCCCATATCAACGGGTGTTTGGCTACAGCCCCAGACTTCCAGCAGCTACCTGGACCGCGAGTTGCACCTGGACCAAGAGGACACCATGGCGAGAGCTCGGGAGATACGAGATGCGGCAGCCAAGGCATGGATGAGGTCCCAGGACAACAACGCTGTCCGACGAGCAGACAAAGCCAACACGCGCATGACAGACCTCAAGGACTTCAAGCCCAATGACACTGTCTACGTGTGGCGGGAGAACAACAACTTTCGAGGTTGGTCTGGACCTGGCGTTGTGGTGGCGATCAGCGAGAACAACCGGTCGCTGTGGGTGTCTCTTCGAGGATACCTTCTCAAAGTGTCCAAGGAGCACCTCAGGCATGCAACATCAGAGGAGAGCCTCGGCGTGGAGCTGATCAAGGTTCTCAGTGCCGAGATGTTGGAGGGCCTGGAGTCTGGGAACATCAGACACTATCGCGACCTGGAGGAGGAAGCCACAGCATTCGCCAGAGAACGAGATCAACAAGAAGAAGTTCAGGTACAAGTACGCCCACGGGGACAAAGGTTGCCTCCGGTGAGAGAAGAAGTCGATGAGGACATCGCGGACCTTTTCGGCGGCAACGATGGTGGAAACGACGATCAGCAAAGCAACATGGAGGTGGATCAGCCTCAAGCTCAACCAGCACAGCCACATGCACAACCACAACCTCACGAATTACCAGCATTGGAAGCAGCAAGCACGGCAGCACCCTCGGAATCTTCCTCTACGGCAATCAACGATGCTAGCCGGCTGTCCAGTCGCCGAGTATCTGTCCAAGTAGACGAAGGACGAGGTGGCGAGATGTCTTTCGGACCAGTACGCCAAAGTTCCGAGAGGCCCATGCCGTACCCGTTTTCCAATGTGGAGAGCCAACCATGGCCTACAGCAAGATCCAACACGACCCTCTTCGAGGTCTACGACCAGGAAACGGAGGTGCAGGATGGCGCGAGGTGGTGTGAAGACAGGATCCGTGGCACCTGGTACATGAAGGCAAGGTCATCGCAAGCCTTCAAGCTGGAAGACTCGGTGTGCCTCTTCAGCAACAAGGACAAGCGCTTCTACCTGACCAAAGCGAAGGAATCGCCTGGGCAGGTGGAGTTCTCGAAGCTGCAGGGCAACGAGAAACAGGTCTTCCGGCAGGCCAGAGCCAAGGAGTTCAAGTCACTGGTCGACAGCGGTGCCATTACCGTGCTGTCGGTCGAGGAAAGCATTGCATTCGCACAGGCCCATCCTGAGCACGTGCTCACGTCCAGGTTCGTGGACAGATGGAAGCCGACCGAGGACTTCGCAGTTTTGCCCGAAGACTTCAACGCTGCAGATGCAGGTTCGGGACAAACGACTTCGGTGGCTCCCAAGTCTCGATGGTGCGTGGTGGGTTGGAAAGACCCGATGGTGCATCAGATCGAACGCTCAGCACCCACCCCGATGACGTCAAGCATGTATCTTTTCATGGCGCTGACTGCAGGACGACAGTGGAGCGCATTCGTCAAGGATGCCAAAACGGCATTTCTGCAATCCAAACCAACAACGAGAAAACAGAAACTCGCAGTCAAGCAGCCCTCCGACGAATCGCTGCCGGGCTTGGATCCGAGACAGATGCTGTTGTTAAATACAGAAGTCTACGGGTTGGTTTCAGGTCCTGCATGGTGGAGGAGGACGTTTCTGGAGGTGTTGGTCAAGGAGTTGGGCTACAGGGTGAATGCCTATGACAGGTGCGTTCTTACGCTGGACAATGAGTCGGGCATCCCTGGGCACCCAACAGAAGGAATCATCGTGGTGGAGGTGGATGACATTTTGGAGTCCGGCAACGAGCGTCATCGCAACAAGATGGCCTGGTTGGAGAAGAAGTTGCGGTTCGGCAAGATCATCAACCTTCGAGAGCACCCAGAAGGCACAGGCTATGCTGGACGAAGGATCATGCAAGGTCCGGATGGTTCGTTTCAGTACACCATGGCGGACTACATCAAGAATAGACTGAAGTATGTCCGGGTTGAGCGCAAGTACCTGAAGAAGGACGCATCAACCACAAGCTTGAAGGAGGACGAGATCAACCAGTTGCGCGGAGTGGTGGCGGCCATCAATTGGATAGCACGCGAGGGACGTCCTGACGTCTCGGCAGCAGCAAGCATCCTTTCTGGTTGCTTCGAGAAGCCGCTGATGCAGCACGTCTTGGAGACAAATCAGGTGGTGGACCACTTGAAGAACCACCACGTCGTGCTGAAGGTACACCACATCCCGGAGGAACAGGTTCGCCACTTGGTGATCTCGGACGCTTCCTATGACCCAACAGGCAAGGTCAAGCCACAGCATGGGTGGATTCAGGCAATTACAACGCCGCAGCTGAATCGTGGAGAGGTGGCCCCGGTAAGCTTGATGAGCTGGAAATCGAGGCGACTTCGCCGAAAGGCAGGCAACACGCTTCTTTGCGAATCCATAGCGCTTTCAACGGCATTGGGGGCGATGGAAAAGCAGGTTGCGGTGTGGCGAAGCTTCTGCAAATCCAAGTATGACCCTCGGGAGACAGCGGTGGAGGTGTCAGAGGAGGTGCAGATGGGGCTTCGCGGGCCAGGCACGGTCATAGCATCGGAAAGCGTGACTTTCACAGATCCGCTTACTGTTGCTGTGGCAGATGCCAAAAGCTTGTATGATGCTTCAGCTTCGGAACAAGCGCAAGGAGATGATGATCGCTCTGCACTGGAGATCGGGATCATCCAGGAGAGCATAGCGAAACTTTCAGGACGGATGAGATGGGTCCCACACAATTTCAATCCTGCGGATGCTCTTACGAAACTCAAGGCTCACATGGAGCCGATGATGAAGTTGCTGAAAAGCAATTGTTTCGTGATTGAGGAGGAGGCCGCAGTGTTGAACCGCGGCAGACAGGGCGAAAATCGCCTAAAGCAGCGGGTGTAAAGAATTTTTAGGGGACTGTGCGAGTCAAGCCAGATCCCATGAGACTCTTGGATGTGTATATGTTCACCCGCTGCCGTAACAGGCCTTGAGCTATCATGGATGCGTAGCAAAACAAGATGCTAACGCGGCATTTTGCTGTCATGTGTTTCTTGCGTTTACTTGCCGACCTTCGAGGTGAAAGATGCTAGTTGGGTAGTGCGATTGCAAGAACCTGCCTTCTGCAAGCAACAAGTGGACATGGTTGTCTTAGGGTGCCAACCCACCGTGGCGTTCCGGCCAAGCGCCATATGATTCCTTTGCCGTGGCATATGCGCCAGGATCGTTGCAGAGGGCAACAAGGAGGCTGGGTCGCTGACCTGCTTGTTTTGCGGCGCTTTGTCAAACGCTCAGATGAGTAGTGGGTGGCCTTGCCCCGAGCCAAACCCTAACTTTGCCTTCTAATACCCAGACCCTTCCAAAACAAGACATGGAAGCTGACAGAGAGTGCCTTCAAAAGAAACATTGACATGGGTCTTCCAGGGCGCATCTGTCAGGCAGATGCATTCTGTTGGGAAGAAGTGCATCTTGAATCACAGGGCAGCAAAATGTGTATATTCAGAGCCCTTTGTTGTCGAGGCCCTGCGAAATTACCTGCTGACTGAGCCAGTGGACGTGCTTCGGCAGCGATTTTCGTGTGTTTTGAGAAGTCGCGCAAAGAGTCGGAGAGTCTCAGAGTCTCAGAGAGCCTGAGGACATGTGGCAGACCACCCTGGACATGGAGGATGGCTGCTCTTGCATCGTGCGCTGGCATTCTGGTCCCTTGAGCATGTAAGCATATTCATGAGCTATGGCGCCGACAAGCCGTGACCCTTTCACTCAGGAGTGGCGCAGCGCGTCAGAGCAGAAGCGGATGGATAAGGACGCAGAGATCACACCAGCTTTCGCTACAACTCGGCAATGTCTCAAAGCGAGAAATTCGCCCTCCCCCCTGGTTGGCGGGCGGCAAACGGATTCGCTTGACGCCAAGCTCGCCAGGATTTCAGAAAGCTGATGCCGGGAAAGGACTCGCGTTCGAGTGCAGTTCACAGGCCTGAGCCAGAGTTTGGTGTTTTTCTCATTGGGTCAGCTTGGGAAGAGCGTGGCACTTTCCAGGGGTGACGCAGAAAACTTGAAGCGTGCTAGTCTCGAGAAAACGGCTTGCTTCGTGTTTGCTTATTCAAGGCCCAGCACTGGTGATTGGCCAGAACTCACTCAGTCATCATAGTATGAGCTCCAACATGACTTGCGCCATGCGCGCGAGTGGGCTTTCAGGAGTTTGCCGGGGTTCTGCGGCAGCGGCCGGAGCTGAAGACCTTTGTGCAGCAGGCCGTTCTTCTGAGTTTGCTTTGTTTTTCTTGTCGTTCAGCGAGAGTTGCCCGGAGGTGATGGGGCAAGAGATGCAACGCCGGGTTGCGCCCCTTGGCCAAAGCCAGCTGGAAAGGGTTGGTGCCAGCAGGACCCAGCTCGTGGCGTACTAACTTTGAATACTTGAGGTCATTTACGGGCAGCCAGAAGTGATGCTTCGTCAAGCGAAGACCTTGGCTGATTTTCCTGGCATGGCAGCGCTGCCTTGCTGTGTTTGCAGATTTTGCGCCCCCCGAAGTGGGCGAAATGGTTACGGTCACTCACACTTGACCGGCTTACTGGGACTGCGGGCCGCAACCTCGCATGTCCTTTATCTTTAAAGGCGTCGGCTTTGTGGTCGACAGCAGCTCCAGGTTTCAGAACCTCCAGCCCAGGCCGATGCCTCCCAGGATACCAGCTGCCAAGCAGCGGGGCCGGGTTTCCCGACGCGGCCGGATCGGCAGCGCCCAGGGCCTAGAGATGAAAAAAGCGTGCAGCTGTTGTATGGGTCTAGGGCTCAGGGCGCGAGTCCGTGTTTGAGTTGGTGCCCGTGTTGGTTGTTTTGAAGGGAAGGGAAGCCAGGCCCAATTTGGGTCCCTTTTTTTGAGATGAATCCGTATTGGTGGAGGACCAAGGCGGGAGAAGGAAGGCTGGCTGCACATGAGCAATCCACTCCAAGACTCGTGTGATTTGTGGTATGGTGCAATAAGCAGTAATGAGCTTGGCGGATAATTAGATGAAGGATTCACCAAAAGAACGGAATGACAGATCCGCTGGCTCATTAGTTGATTAGAGCCCAACCATGCCCCAGCTAGTTGGTTGACTGCGGAGCTACTGAATCATGTATAGTGAGTCAATGAGTGAGGCAGTTTCTCACTTTGTTAGTTGGCAACGACGGGATGTGCGCATGGGTCGCGCCGTACGTCCCAGTGGCAAGGTTCTTGTGCAGCGAGAGGTGGCAAACGCTTTAGGTTTCTAACCATTGGAACTGGTGTTAAGCGGGTAATGGGACCAGAAAGGGGGTGTGAACAATGTGCAGGCCGTCGTTTTAAGCCACATTGTGCGAGTGGGTGCGTCTCAAATAGCTTTTGTTCAGTCGATGCTTATGTCGGCCACAATAGGGAACACATTTTGAGGTGCGTGTTTGTTGAGAAGCAGCCATTCAGCGGGGCGTTGGCCACTCTTGGCTCAAGCCGGGGGGGGCTATGGCCGAGCGCCGGCTCTGGCAGGCAGGAAGTGGGCTGGCCACTCAAGGGTCACCCCACATC